CTTGTGCATGGTAGATAAGCACTCTAGAAATGAGGTACTTCCTCAGCCCTATATGCCTCATTCTTGAAAACAATTGTAGTAATCATATTCCAGTGTCACCAATGTCTGCTGGTGGGGTGGAAAAGGATAAACCACATTTTATTTGGGTCTCTAGCATGAGAGAAATCATGCCCAGAAGCCCAAAACCAAGTCATCTCATGCAGACCTAAACTGGCTGGTAAGATCACAGACCTCCATCAAACTTTACTTTGTTATTTTTAAAAAGATACCACCCATTGGCAAGTACATATTGCACATGTAATATATATAGTTTGTAGGCAAAGAGCAGACTGTTAATTTTAAAATAAAATTCTTTGACACTCCTTCCATTCAAGGCTGGGGCCTATGGAGCAGTCTACTGCTCCAGGACCATCCTTAATGTCCCACATATATAATCCGAAGAATGTAGTAAAAGTGATAGGATGTGATTCCTGAAACAGAGTCAGGAAAGACCATAAAGTTTCACCTACTTTTTTGCATCCTTCTCTTTGTGTGCTGAGCTACCATTTTTACAATCTGGCCATCCTGAGGCTACTGTGCTTTGGGCAGGCCCAGGCCACATGGAGAAGACACACATGGATGCTATGCCGCAGCCCTGAGTGGCATCCTGGGAGAACAATTACCAGCACCAGATAAGCACGGTTCCCAGTGATCCTGGAAAAAGCTGTCAGGGCCCAGCCAGTCATCATCTTGCTGAGACACAGGCATCATTGAGTGCAGACAAGCTACTCACACTACATCCGTAACATTCCTAGCCCATAGTAACTTTGTGCATAATAAAACAGCTGCTTTATGCCAGCAAAATTTGAGGTCATTTAATATGTCATTATATAGTAGCTATAATAATATTGCAAAAGAAACAATTCATAGTTTAGACTCTCAAAGAAGCAAAAAAGAAAGTAATAAGCCAGGTAACAGTGCTGGGGAGATAGCTCAGCAGTCTAAGCATCTGCCTGGTAAGGGCAAGGATCTAGGTTCAATGCCCGACTCCACATGCCCTATCAGCCTTGGACCCCTGAGCGCTCTCAGCCTGCCACCAGAACTGGAGGTGGTGGCAGATGCCTATAAGCCCCCAGTGCTGCGGAAGCTGAGACAGGAGGATCACTACAAGTCTGAGCTGCATAGCGAGACTCTGTGCCAAATTAATTAATTAATTAATTAATTGAAAAAATAAAACAAAATAAACCAGGTAACAGAACAGCAAAGCCAAAAGTTTTGAAACAGACCTACCTTATTCTAAAATTCGAGTTTATAACTATAATGCTACATTCCTGTCTATGGGGATATGCCTACCTCTATATTACCTCTCTTAAGATCAAATCATCATTCAGGGCCTTTTTAGCCCATTGTAGTACCTCTCTAGACTCCAACCTTCAGGAATTTCTCCCACCTTTTGAATCAACTAATTTTTTTTTTACAAATTTTATTTGATGATTCATGAACATGAGTGACTAACACAAATTCATCACTTTTCCTACGCACAATTCCTGCCTTGTCCTTCTGAATTATGCTCATGGACCATAAAATGTAAAGATCTACAGAACTGAAGCAGGCAATACACACAGTGAAGTGCGTAGGTATGAGGGAACTAGGTCTGAAGGAACACAAGGGGTCTGGATGGAGCTACAGCATGGAGCAAACATGTTCCATATGCAGATGACCACCAACAAACCAGGGTACTGATATCTCTGCTGTGTCACCACCTGACAGGTTACACACTTACGTGTTCATTGCTTCTCTCTCATTGGAACATAAGCTACCTGAGACAGAAGCTTCTGTTTTATTTGCTGCTAAACCACCAGAGCCAAGAACAGTACCTGACATTCAGTCAAATGAATATCTGTTGAGGGTACGAAATGAGTACAAAAATATTACAAGATAGGAATATGGGTCTAGGACTACAATATTTTTGCTTTTTTTTTTTTGAAGGAAGTCAGAAATAATTTTATTTGCAAGCTCTCAATTTTTAAGTATTGATAACTCATTAGGAAAGTTAAGCCATTTCAGGGATGAGTAAACAAAGCACATTCGCAGATTTGAACTAAATATGAAGGTTGTGTTTGAAAACTCCACACTAGCAGAATCGTAAACCTTGTTACATTTCTAATCACTTAGAATAGTGCTTTGTGAAGTGTGGGTAGCCTGAAAGCCAATAAGGACAGTGATGATGATCTCAGGTATTCACACATAGAACCCTGCTGCAATTCCGCTGTGTGTTATTAATACGCTACTCAAGTTCCTTTGTCATACCTCCAAGAAAATTGCTTCACCTTGGGATCCGAAGTGACCACCTGGGCTTCACAAGGTAGTCCCACATCCAAAATTCTACAGCTAAACTTCCTATCTGTACGACTGTTAAGGTTGAGAAATGTCATTCTCAGGTGCTCCCCGTGATAAAGGGAAAAAGCAGTGAAAAGAAAGCAGATTGGATTCCAAAAGGGTGACAGCAAAAGAGCCAAGTTTCAAACTACACTTCCACAGTTGATCAGCAAGCACTCCAAGTGGCAATTCTGTCTTCCTGTTCACTGATTTTTAGTATTTTTTGACTTATACAATCTAAAAGTTTATTGCAACTGACCTTTTCATGTACTCTATTAATGTGCCTTATCTTGGCTACATCAGAATTATTAGGCAGGAATTTTAAAATGTTTACTCATTACTTAGAAATTCTCATCTCCAAATGAAAAGCCACATCTAAATAATTAGCAAGCCTGGCTTTTAAAAGGGGTCACTTAGCAACAAGCATAACTGTGTATGGCTAAGAACATTTTGAGACTACTTTAAGGAAGATATACTAAGAAAAGCATTTCCAGTGGGTCTTATGCTAGTTGACCCACAACAAGTCGGTCATCAACTTTTGAAGGCACCAAAGGAAATGAGATGTCTTCCCGCTCCTTTTCTGTGTATGGTCCAATAAATACGTCATTGAAACGTTCACAGGAGACATCAATAAAACTCAAGAGAAATTCAGCATTTAAAATAGTTATAAGCCCCAAACTATGGCCTGCTACCCCTACATAGTGAGCATTTGGGATATTATTTTGATGATTATACAAATGAAATCACTTTATACAGTTCAATGACACTATTGCTGTGTATGCACGTAGAGTCTATTTTTAAGCAGATCGCATAGTGATTTAAATTAAAAGTAAAAATGTCTTTAACCAAAACTATTTTTTCAAAATTGTAGTTATTAGGGAATTAGGGACTTTCTACAGATTTAAAATACAAGTTTCGATCCTCCTGCTATGTTCAGGGGACACTGAATTATAAGGTAAATTTTCTGGTAGACATACAACTACTGTGAAAAACAGAGCTCCAACAGCCAGGAGGAAATGTTCAAAACTTGGGGTCAAACTATCAGGTATGACTTATTCTTTTTAATCTTTTATTTATCTATTTGGTACAGGGTTTCATTATGCAGCTTGGACTCATAGTGATCCTCCTGTCTCAGCCTCCCCAGCACCGGGATTATAGGCATGCACTACCACGCCCCGTTTCAGTGGCTGGCATGGTGCACTGGGGTTTTTGGGCCTGCCAGCACATGCAGGACCAGGGATCGAACCCAGGTTCTTGTGTTTGCCAGGTAGGTGCTTGAACTGCCACACTATCTCCCCAACTCAGATACTACTTTTGACGCTTACACTTTCTTACTCTTTCATACTAGCAAGTTCCTTAATTTTGTTTAAACTAAAATTTACTCATTTGATAAAAAACAAAAGGGAGAATCCTAACACCTTGCTTTATGATTAATGACAAGTAAGATAAATGCATTTTTTGTTGTGTGAGCCATTGAAATGATGAAATTGTAAATTTGGCACAGCCAGCCTAACACAACAGTATTTGCAAAGTGCTTAGAACACAACAGTATCACAAATGATTGCATTCAAAGAGAATCAATCCTTATTATAAATTTAATACAGATGATGCTCCCTGTACTGTGCCCTAAGAAAATAAAATGAAGCAACAAATAAGTAGCATAATGGCATTTATATAGTGTAAAACCACTTACACTGAATGTTTATTTTTATTTTTTAAATTATTTATTTATTTATTTGGTACAGGGTCTCACTATACAACTCAGACCCATATTGATCCTCCAGTCTCAGCCTCCCCAGCGCTGGTATTACAGGCATGCACTACCACACCTGGTTTTAGTGGCTGGCAGGGCATGCCTGGGGTGCGAGGGCCAGCATGGCATATGGTACAGGGGATCAAACCCAGGTCTTAGCACTTACCAGGCAGGTGCTTAGACTGAGGTATCTCCCCATCCCACTTACACTGAATGTTAAAGCTGGGCTTACACTGTAAATGAAGAATATAAGGGCTGGGGAGATAGCTCAGTAGAATCAGTGATTGCCTGGCAAGTGCAAGGGCCTGAGTTCAATCCCCTCTTCTAAAATATATATATGCATATGGAAGTTGCAAACAACAAATTTGGGCAATAATTATCTCTAAGAGAAGGGGTAAGGCCATAAGATCAGTGGTTCAATGTTTTTTACTTTCTCAATAACTAAATTAAATAGAAACAAAGATGACAATATATTTAGAGTCTACAGATCTGCCTGTAGGTATATGGAGTTTATTACAATACTTGCCACATTTTCAGTAAACCTGAAACAGTTCATATAGAAAGCAACGACTTTGTCACCCATACACCTACAAACAAGCAAACTGCCAGCAGAGACAAAGGCTGTTCTTGAGATACCCAGGAAAGGGATGGAGACAAAAGGGGACAGGGATAATATGAGTGAGAGATGAAGGCAATTAAAAGAATAAGAGGGCTGGGTATAGAAAAGAAGTTCCTCCCTGACACTTTGGAATTAGGAAGATACGTTGTAACCAATAATTAAAGAAAGAAAGAAACTAAATAAAATGGGAGGGGGTTACATATAATTTTTTGTTAATCAGGTTAGAGAATCTCTATTATCCCAAAACATCATTAGGCTAAAAATACTTACTACAACCCCACTCTTGGTAGTAGTTTCTCGGTATGTGAAGTTGCAAATCGCCCAGGCTAAATAATATGTGGACATGAGAGGAGTCTGTGAAAAGTGATCTGTTACCCATCCATCTTCCTCAAACACAGAAGTCTCCACTGGCATGTTGGACAGAGATAAATAGGTTGCTTGGTGCTTGATGCTGATTTTGAAAGTGGCCTTGTAGATTGGCTCATCAAAACATGGAAATGCCTTTCTGGCATGAATAGGCGAAAACTGCGTCACACCAAGGAATCTGGAAACAAAAGAAAAGAAAAATGACAATCTATTGCTTTTTTGTTTTGAGTTGACTTATGGCCACACTATATGATCTTGCTGATAATATATTTTCTCAAATTAGAAAAGATTTTTTTCTCAATGAAGCTTCATTCCATTAATAACATAAAAGCATAATTCATGGACCATATACTTCCCCAACAATAAAAGTTCTTTAGGAAAGTTTTTGCCCTGAAGTAAATTCTCTAACCCTAGAGCAGAGCTTGTTAGATGAACCACTACACTCTACAGAAAAACAAGACATTGGCATCTCCCAAACACCAGAAAACAATGATTCTCCTTGTCAGTGTTCACTCTTCTCCCCAAGTCTGGGACGTACAGCCTATAAAGATAGTGATACTGAGAGCTGAAAGTTGTCCTCAGATATATACAGAACACAGATCTACCCTGAGAAAGATCTGTGTCCTTAAACTTCAACAAGATATGGGCTGAGATTTTAAGAATGAGAACTTTGAAACCTGTCAAATCTTTGTGTAAATAATGCCTCCATGACTTCCAAAGCTCTGTCACCTTGGACAATTGCTAAACATATTTAGTGTATACTTATTCACTGTTTTCAAGGAAACAATTAAGTCTAACTCCAGAAGTATTGATAAGTTTGGAGACAAAATAAAAAGAGGTGAAACACTTCTTCCTGTGAATAGCTTGCATTAAGCAGCCAGTAATCAAAAGTCACTGATTCACTATCCTGTCATCCTTTCTCAGAGTACAGTGATGTACACTGATACTGAATAGGCCTGAGATACTTACAGTAGTAACCCTTCTCTGTGGTTTCACTTTCTGTAGCTTCAGTTACCCATGGTCAAGTACAATCTTAAACATTACTACAAGGCAATTCAGAATGAAGATATTTTGAGACACTTAACACTAATACAACTTTTATAAGAGTACCTTGTTATAACTGTCCTATTTTGTTATTATTCTTAATTTCTTACTGCACTGAATGTACAAGTTAAGCTTTATCACAAGTATTTACCTACAAGGAAAACATAGCACATATTGGGTTTAAGAATGCCCATGATCACAGAGGTCATGTACTTAAGGTCTTGTCATGCATTTACCAGGAATAAGGGAGGTCTACTCTATGCACTATATATACATATCATATAAATATTAACACATATTAATAATTCTTTCTACCTATAAGAGTACATTAATGTGTATGTATAATATACATGTAAATAATGCATTCAACTTCCAGATCACAATTTATTTCATTAAAATACTAAATATGAGCAGCTTCTACATTCCTTCTTGGTACAAATGCTTATGGTACAAATGATGCTGCCTCAATCAAGTATTTAAGGATACTCTTCTAAAAAGAAACCACATGTGACAAAAGTTACTTACAGCTTTTAGGTAATACTAGTTATTATTTATTTATATCCAGTACAACTGGATATAAAGCAAGTCAGTATCAGACCTCTCATAAAACACTGCTGAGTTCTAAAGCAATTTCTTTAAAAGACCCTTTACTCTAGAAGTAGTTCACTACCACCTTCCTGCCTATCCACCAAGGCATATATAGTTATGCTAACATAGAATACTGTCCAGGCTTGATTTGGCCTCAAAATTAATCTCAGCATAGACTTGAGGCATTTGTCAACATAGGTTGGCGTGCCTATTGGATTTTATTGGCTAATCCTGGCTCAAACCAATAAATATGTATATGCACAACATTTAAAATACATGAAGTTTAATTTTTTAATGAAAGCCTACTTTTACAAGTTTAATTTTGAAACAGAAAAAAAAAAGACATTTTAAAAAATTGTTTACTTGTCTCAGAGATGGTTTTTGAATTATTTCAGAAGTGTCACCACGATGCTACATACTAGGCTTAGTAAGTCACTTAACTATTTGAACTTGTCTTTTCATTACAAGAAAGAAAATAATGTTTCCTAGGCCTTCCTTATAAAACTGTAAAAATGATAAAATTATACAATATATGGGAAAGAAGTTTATCTATAAATCTTCATGAAAATACAATGGCAAGGATAAAAGCAACATTGGAAACAAACCATCCCACTCTTGCGAATATTTAAATGAAAAGTAGATACAGAAAGGTTAAGTCATTTGTCTGAAGATAGAGAATCAGCAGAAAATTGGATCTAGCATTCACATTTTATGTCTAATTTAAAGCTAATTATACTTCAAAAATGGTAAAATTAATTTTTAGCTATAACTTGGTGTTTTAATTCAACTGTATACAACAAAGAATCTTCTCTCTAAATTTTCCTAAACAGTGGTAATATGTTTTCCTAATTATTTTGTACTGATAGTAATCCAGCTTGTGTTAATGAAATGCCAGTCCCTTTTAGTTAAAATGCATCCATTCGCAGCTTTGTCTTCCTGTACTTTTATCTCACATAATGCTCATGAATCTTATCTTTTAATTTATTAATTAGAACATCTACTGAGCACAGTATTCCTCTCCTGAGGCTATCTAACAAACACCCATGGAGTTTTATGTACGTAGGAAAGTGCTGCTTTTTAACATTCAAGCTTTTGAGAACTTCAACTATAATCACTGAACAAACAGATACTATTTGCTATATGTGAGATTTATATATTTGGTTTTGGTATGATTTTTAAATATATATATTTTAATGGATTTTAAATATATATCCATTTTATCCTGAAGGTCTTTACAAACTAATGCGCATGTGTGTGCGCATGTGTGTGTGTACACACACAAAATGACAACTAAGGATAGTCTAATGGGGGAACATTCTACAAAAGTTCAGCAGAGAGGGTATAATTCGAGTACATTAGTCTTTATGTTGAAAAATCAAAGGCATTTTTGACATTAAGTAATTAATGGCTAGGAGATTACTAGATGCAGCAGGTCTAAATACCTCTGAGCTAAGGAGAAATTAACAAACTAAATATTTATGCAAAAAAATCACATTGTTCAGTCTATTGTCTCCTTACTTAGTAAGTATATTAGGGAAAGAAGCAATTTAAATTACTGATCTTCAGGGTTGAAGAGAACTGTCAAGATCATCTCACAACTTTTTCTGCAATTAATATTCTTAATGAATCCAAACACATAGTGTATATCTAGGTACAGAAGGCTGCCATATATTCTGATAATGTCTAAATGAGGAAGTACCAATTTCACAGTCTGGCACCTGAGGATGACTACAGTTGAATTTAAATTCAGTATTTAAAAAATCAAAAGGAGTCCCTTAGTAAATAAGTTTTTGGACTGGTGTACCTTTAAGGTTTTCTTTTTTTTTCAAATTCAAGATTTTATAACTACACAAAAATTAGAAGTAAAACATTCCCCAAATTTTATGGGTTTCTTTTAAACATGTTAAGTTACATGACCCCTAAATGAATTTGTACTCCAAGTCTTATAATGCCTCAGCCATGAGCTGTTGAGTATTCAACAGTGGGGCAAAAAAGATACACAATAGCTTCCTTCCAACAAAGAGGGGATACTCCAATAGAATAAGCTAAACATATATCTACGTAGGCATTATACTAAAAGTGATGACGGGAGTAAAGCGTAGAAAGCACATTCTCCTTAAGCAGAATTCTCAGCCTTGGTATCACTAGTATTATAGACTGGATAACCAGTCAATGTGGGGGCGATCCACGCACTACAGGATGTCTTGGCATCCCTGGCCTCAACCACTAGTCACGAGTAACATTCAGTCTACAGGACAGATGACTACAACCGTCTCGGAGCAGGGAGAATGACCTTCAAGGAGAGCTGCCAGTATGAAGAGCCACCAGCCCAGCGATCTCAAAGAAAGCTGTATTGAGAAAGAAGCATAAAAACTGGCCATGAAACCTGGGTAGAAATGTAAAGGGCAAAAGGGAGTAGAGAAATGAAATAACAGCTGGTAAGTAGTGCAGAAACAAAATGTTAAAAAGCTTCAGCATGCATAGTAAGTCAAGGCACTGTCTGGAGTCTCACATGTTTTGGTTCTAGTTTTGGTTCTAACCAATTTACACCTACCTTAAGGCCAGTATCCTCAATAGACAATAGTGCCTGTAGGACTTCAAAACTATAGGCACATCTTTAGTACATATATTTTATGGTTTCATTTAATTGGTGGAAGTGAATCTTCTCTTGTTGTTATTGTCACTAAAACTACCAGTAACCCACGGAGAACAGTGGGAGGGCTGAGCAGGAGGAGGACAGTGAGTTCAAGGTCAGCCTGGGCTGCACAGTGAGTTCAAGACCAGCCTTAACTACATAAGGAGAACTTGTGCCAAACAACAACAACAACAACAAAAAAAAAAAGTCAGAGGCCTCAAGAAAGGCTGGCTAGAGAGAAAATTTATGATTTGGTTTCTGAAAGAAGATGAATTTCAGGTGCTAGCAAGACACCAGATGCGAATCAAAAATTTAAAAATTTGAATAGATAATATACATATGAAATACATAAACACACACATACATAAGCCAAAAAGAAACAAAGCAGAAAGAAATGCAGGCAAACATTTGATCTGTTTTTCCTCCTCCTTTTTTTTTTTTTTTTTCAGCCTTCTAAGCACTAGGATTTCAGGCATACGCCACCACACCCAGTCTCAGTCACCATCTCAGCATGCCCCGGGGGCGGGCATGCCCCGGCTGCGCTCTGCCTAAACAGGCTTTTTACTCCCTGAGCTATCAGGCCAGCCCTTTCTCCTCTATTCTTAAACAAAATTGTTATCTTTTAATGAATCACTTGATTACCATTAAAAAAATTCTACTTCCAAAAGTGACATTCTGGAAGTGTCACTCCAAGAATGTCATTTTAGCATAACAAGAAAAATGTGAATAATATACATGTATTTTAATTTCCTTCTATCTAAAATAAATTACTTGATTTCCTTAACAACTTGTCTATTTGACATTTCAGTTGAGCGAAGAAGGCGGACTTCCAGCCCAGCGCTGCCTCTGAAGAATATACAGAATTGATTTCTTATTTCTTCGGAAGTTCACTAGGCAAGCTTCTGGTGTCA